TGAAGACAAAATTCTTGAAGAAATCTATCGAAGAAGGAGCAATTGACACTTTTGGGAGAAGAGATCAAGCGGCAACGAAGAGTTTTTCTAAATCCTTGTTTTCTTTTCCATGTTTTCAATGATAAATTCCAAGTTATCAATTGTATTCATCATGAACTAACACTTTAGATCTAAGGTTTGATGTAATCTTCTTGAAACATGTTTTGATAATAATTAATCTCTTTTGGATTTTTCTAATTATTTATTCATTTAAATAAGATTTTTAATATTTATTTACAAGATTTTTCATGGATTCAGTCATACTTTTTCCATTATTCAATCAAACTATTTATTGAGTTTCAATTTCAATTATTTGTTGTTGAGATTGATTTAACAATTATTATATCCTTCATAGATCCAGTTATGCTTCTTCTATCGTTAGATTGAACTAGTTGTTGAATTTTAATCTCAATTTCACTTTATAGGTGGATTGATTACTGTCTTATGCTTAATGTATATGGTCGATCTTTGATCTTGTTCCAATAAAATTGTGCGAATATGTCTTAAGTCTAAATTCTAGAATTACATTTGTAAATTAAATTGATTTTCACGATATATCTTCCGATTAGAGTGTCGGGATGAAAGCCTCTAATTGTGTTATAAAAATGAATAATTGATATGATTGATCCAATCCAATTGAAAGAATTCTGATGCTTCACTGTTTCGAATTATTGATTTTAATTTCACCTTTCAACATTGAATTTTATTACACGTTTGAGAGAACAATTCAACATTTTTTATCCTTTAAATATTTTTCCATCTCCCTGTGGATACGACACCCCAAAACTGCACTACAATTACTGCGTTATTCTTTTGGCGTAATCAAGTATTATCACTCATATAATGATCAAAGAATCTAAGTAATAGTGAGGCTATTGGTGTAGGCGAGGGCTTTAAGCTGGTCAAGGTTACTGTGGTTAAAGCTAATGAAAGTTAGTCACATGAACACTTTCAATACTTTCCTCGACATCCTCATTTTACTCTGGTATTACTTAACCTTGTTTTGATATAGCCATTCTTAAATAACCATGGAATTTTAGTGCATGAAAGTTCTGATCATGAGTTACAATGTCAGATGGTCTTTTGGGCACTCATTAGAGTGAGAACCTCAAGTAATTCTGAAAAATTAGTCTAAGGACAATCATGAATCAAGTTCACCGTATGTACATGTTCTCCAACATTTTGAGACTAATGGGAGGCAGCTATTAAGTAGAAGCATCAAAAAAGTACATTCAGTAGCACTATATTTTCCTTCGTGAGCATAACATTGAAAATGGAAAAGGTAAAGCTAAAATTGAAACCAAATACATTTTACTCGTTCTTTTCCAGCTTCTGGCAAGAATTAGCAGTTCAGCCGTTTAAAAAGGCACAGTAAAATGTAACGATGTAGCAAAATAGATTAGAATAAATTATTAAATATGACGACTCACCGAGTACATTGGAAGCCAGCATGGTTTTCTCAAGTATGAGACATTTTCCAAATCATTGAACTCATCCCTGGTTCCTCAAATCAACAGGCAAATTATATGGTGCAGGAATAAAAGTAGTATTTTGATGATTTTTGAAGGGAAGTGTCAAATTCAGGGCATTCCGATATACTTACAACCAAGGTGGGGGAGGACAATGGATATGTGTCACTTGCAACTTGTGAATATCCAGAACACCTGACCTGGAGAAAAATAATGATAATAGCATGTAAAACTGAAAAGTTTGATTTGCAAAGCATAGTAAGCAGCATAGAAGATCCCGGAAACTAAATTCTGTAATGTATATGTCAAAAGATGTTTCATTTAGTAGTGAAAACTTGTAACTTGTAGCATACTGCTCCTTGTTTGGTCAGTGGAATGTTTGGTATTCTGTAACAAAACATGTTGCTAATTTTACACATCATCAACCATAGAAGCAATATAAGAGATACTACAGATGAATAAAATGGAAGTTCCCATGCTTAATAGCAGAAGTTGTGACTACATTGAGTCAGACTCAGCTATCGTATTATTTTATTGATAGAATCATAGAAATGTTGGATGATCTTTAGAAAGCAATCTTTGCATTCAATAATCATTTTTCTGCGTGACAATTAAATTGTACAAATATCCTGTTTCCCACTTGTAAATCAGTTGTGTTGGACATAGCTAGGTATGCTAAAAGAAAATAGATGTGAGTTGAACACAGTCAGAATCCCCCACAAATCCTCAGCAAAGTGATGTGTGGTCGTAATAGGATTTGCTAGAGCCTTTCCAAAAAATATATAAAGCAAACCACAAGAAATTGTTTTTGGACCTACCAGCCATCATCAAGATGAAATGCCAATTGATGAGGGCAAGACGGATCAATATCAATTGAGTGTATTTCCTTTGAAACAATATTTGATTGAGCCTGCAAAAAAATGAGAATATAGGGTCAAGTTCAACCACTGATATCCAGAAGAAGCACCGCTTGAAAATAAGTATTAACCCAGCAAAAAACTCATTGATAGCATCAACAACAAATAAAGCCTTATTCCACATATCAACAAAAAAAAATGTGCGGTTCCTACAAGAAATATATACAAAATTAGTATGTAAGCCTTATCTAGAGTGATACAGCATATGATGCTCGAACTCTTCGAAATAGTTGGAGTACCCCAACACAACATGGGTATGGGTATGGAATATGTGTCGGATCCTCCAAGTTTCAACCGGACACTTCGTTGTTTTTGCTTCTTCTTCCTTCTTTTTCTTCTTTCTTATTTTTTTTCTTTCCCACTTTTGCTCTCTCTAAACCTAGCGTCATCACCGAGAGGGTGAAGAAAGACGGTGACGCTAGATTTTCCCTTCTTTCTTTTTCATTTCCATTTTCTTCTTCTGTTTTTTCCTTCTCTCTCTCTATATAGGTGGTTTAGGGTTTTATTTGTATAAAATGAAAATGGGTTTCATATAATGCTACTTAGTATTCCACTAAGTCCAAATTACAATCTAGATCCTCATTTTCTATTTTATATAAAATTTAGTAATTCTCATTATTAAAAACTAAACCCCAAAATTCTATTTTATTTGTCTTAATCCATTATTAAATACCCATTTCCTTCATTGTGAATAATTAATTTTGATTTATTCAAAATGATATCTTGGATTAGTAAAAAAATTGAAGTTTGAAAGACGTATCCACGTACCCGTGTCCAAAATTTGGACTCTTTTTAGCCATATCCCCATATCCTACATTTTAAAAAATAAAAGATCTGACACTTAGATACGTACCCGTACCCGATACCCGTTCCCAAGTCCGAGCATCATAGGATACATCACATGATAAATAAGCACTTTCAAGTGTCGAACACGTTACACTTTTCTGAAACAAACATTTGGTGTCCAAGTATCCAGAGGCAATAAGTTGTTAGGAGGGTACGAAGAACTTTACAAACTAAAAGAAAATGGAAAAGGTGTTATTTCAGTAAAATAGTAGAAGATTTGAATTAGTTTCAACAACTTAAGCATCAAATAAACATCCGTCCACGTTTGGTTCACATTTGACCACCAAGATCTCAAAAAATCTAGAGCTTCTCGTCTGTTTTACCGACAGTCACCTTGCCGGCATGAATCAAATATGCTTCCAGATATGAAAAGCAATAAGAACGCCAATGCTAGTCCAAATATTTCAGAAAATTGGGAAGTGGAGAGTATTAAGCTTCTACATAATGAAACCAACCATAGAAACAGAAAAATGATTTTGCATACCTTCAAAGACCATATTTTCTCCAGCTCGTGCGCCAATTTCACTGATGATAGAGGAGAATAATATCCCTGAACGAGAAAAAATTATGGTATAAGTATTGCTTATTACAGGGAAGAAAATATATATTGTTCATCTAATATGATTTCATTGTTATAAATTATTTAGTTTAAATATTAGAGACTTCACTGAGCATCAACTTAAATTTGAACAAGTTGTGAGCCAAATGATTGGGGAAAAAGTCAGAAACAGAGAATATCTACCTTATGATTTTGGAAAGCGTTAGACGATCTTCCACCCCGTAGATCCCACATATATACCTTTCCCTGCTTGCTAGCTCCAAAAATAATCTATTTGTTCAACCAAATACAGTGCAAGAACAAAATCCCATCAATATTTTACATGGAACTGTGCAAGTAGTATTTGTTTTTGTGGGAATACAACTATGCAAATCATAGGTTTGAATCTGCAGAATCACCTCTATTTTCTTTTCTAGGGGAATTTTACTATTCATGTTTTATATTCTGTGGTATCAAAAAAGTTAATTACAACTAACCTCATTATCCTCACTTAATTTGATGCTGTTAAGTGTGCAGTTGGAATCAGAATACAGCTCTAAACAGGGAAGATTGCTAACTCTTCTGTCCCACACATTTATTACACCATTCATATCTGAAGCAAGTAACCTATTGCAGCATATCATCAAGAAAGTGAAAAAAGAGATGAAAAACTCAATAAAGATAGACTCTCAAATGAATATAGAGCAATAAGAAAACAGATATTATAATTTAACAGCTTTGACTCCTCCAGTGATCCGTAAGTTATCCATTTCTCTAGAATCTGTCATGTTTTTTTTTACAATTTTTATATGACAATTTCCAAGACCTAATCTTCAGATTATTAGCTAATTTTCTCTCAAAACATTATCTCTCACTATTTATGCAAAAGGTTTTGCAACATCTTTTGTCTAGTATGTGGATGTCCTCATTCCAATAGAAATTTGGTATGAAGTACTATATACTCTGGAATTGGAATTTCTTCGCATTTTTTTTTTTGGATCACCTATTAACTTTCTCAAAATCTAAAGTTTTATAATATAATACGTGTTGTAATTAATTTTAGAGGAAAAGATATGCAGAAAATAGTGCCAATCTCCTTGTATGGAAAATAGGTAATAAAAAATTTCCAGAAAGGGTGCACACTGTTTCATACCTTGAATTGTCATCAGAAGAAAAAGCTATGTCAGATAAACCTTTGTGAACAGAACAACCATGAACAGTGATAGTAGGTCTCTTTCTCAGCACCTGTATGAAAAATTGCAAGAAATACATTGTAAAGCAAGTACAAAATTTTACAGATTATTAATCGCAGATTTTATAATGGCTAAAAACAACAGATGTCAAATATGTCAATAGAGTTTAGTGACACTGTTTTTGAATAAGATTCACGTGTGCCTTGTCTCATGATTCTTTGATATAAGAGCCTTACATACATCTTTTGGAGTTCTTATCCATTTCTTTTCTTTCAGACTTAATAAGCAAACCATTCAACCCGTCTATAGACTGATGCTACTAACAGTTCCCGTAAAGATTTCTGATAATAGGGATAATCCCATAACAAATTAACCTTTAACAGCCATATTCGTGCCAATATACATTCATGATAAGCACGTCCTCTGAGTATGTCTGACTGACAGTCCCTATAAAGTTGTTCACGATCTGTACAGCTTCAGCAACTCAATACAGGCGCAAATCTGAATAAAAGTTACTAATGTAGTTCTAACTAACACAAGAGCAGAGCGCCTGCAAGATCTTCATCTGATGAAAATTAGGTCAATTTTCAATGATGACAAATATAAAAGATACTTACTTCAACTGGTTCGAGAGATATATATCCAATGTCAAAAATATGAATTTCGCTACTTTTTGTTGACGTGCAGGCAACCTGCAAGGTAACAAAAAAAGACTCAAGTTAAATGCAGAATACAAGGAATCATAATGGTAGACATGGATGATCACAAGGACATTCAATGAAGGTAAAGTTATTCAATAAGAACAGTACAAATATTCTTATCCCTGCTTCATATAATGTATATCACTGCAGCCATATCTACAAAGAGACCTTCGAAATTGTGACTAATATGACAGTTAAAAGTTGAAATCAACTAATGCTTAAGCAACAAAAAAAAAAAAACTAAAAAGTTTAGATACTTGTGTCAAGGAACTGTTGAACCAATTGATACAAAAGATTGAGCTTCGCAGCATTCAATTTTTTTTCCATTAAAGTCTGACACGTTAACAATTACATTTAATTGGGTGGCATCGAGACTTAAACTAGGACACCTAATACCATATTGAACTACTTGATCTAAAAGCTTAAACGATTAGAGAGAATGTGGATCATTGAAATAGTGTTTTCAACACAAATAAATACAAAGCGTGGGATTCAATTTTTTGGATTAAAGCCTGACACTTGTACAATTTCATTTAAATGGGTAGCGATGAGACTTGAACTCAGGACCTAATACCATGTCAAACTACTTGATCTAAAAGTTTAAATTGTTACATAGAGCCACATGTATATTATTTAAAAAATTGTCTTCAACACGAACATATACAATACAAATGTTCATTGCCACATTGTACTTCATCAAAAGAAATACTTTAGCCCTTTGGTTTGAAATTACTGTCTGGTTTAAAGGTTAGCAAACAGCTAAGGTTTTTTTATTCTTATATAAATGGAGGAATAAGGAGAATTTGGGGGAAAATGTAACGCTTTCTTGTTAGGGACACCTTTTTAGATGACTACCAGATCGTTCCAAACCAAGAACTTACATGTTCTAAGATGAAATATCATTCCAACATGTTAAGTACGAGAAACCAATTTATATTTCAGGGAACTCTAGCAATAATTTGTGTTAGAGATAGATTTAGCAAATGAAATAAGTTGCGATATTTAAAAAATTAACTCGTAAGTGGTATAAAAAGTGTTTTAACTTTTAGATTAGACAGAATTACAAGCAGAATGAATGTCAACCTCGTCTTGGTTAGCACGGTTCCACCGGATGACATCAAGCTGTTGACATGTAGGAATGTGTAACAATTGCTTTGCTTCATCTTCTTTCGAATCTAACGATATTAAACCCATCAAAAGATTTAATAGATACACGACATTTAGAAATTCTTCACTATCACAGAAGAGAACCAAATCAGAGAGAGAGAAACGAGAATAAAAGATCAGCATACACATTTAGCTTCCTAAATGCAAAACATATTCAGTTATAGGTAAAAAAAAATGGAATTAACTAAAATGAGATTTGTCCTAATTCAAAATACATCATGATAAAATAGTGGAATAATATGACAGATTCATATGACTAATTGTTGATGTAACAAAGTAAAATTAAATGTGATATATTTATCAAAAGCCTTAACCTCAGGCTGAGCTTTTGCACAGGAAAATCATTCTTGAAGGCTGAATTTTATATAACTATAATGATATGGTGATAGAATTTTTTTTTAACTGAAACCAAGAACACAATTATATCAGCAAGAGAGAACACGATATAACTCATTAAGAAGTCCCAATATAACACAGCCTTCATCATAAATTACTAGAAGATCAGGAAAAGACAAAAAAAAAAAAAACCTTAGATTGGTATAACTCATTACCTGGGTTACAAAGATATTCAAAGTCATGCACGGTTAAGCAACCTGATTTTGTTACCGATGCCAGGTATACTCCCTATCAAAACAAGGTAATTTCATAGTCCAAATACTTATGAGAACTGTTGCTGAATACCATAAGCCTTATATCCTGATTGCAGAGAACTTGAGACCTATCTTTGCGAAAATAGATACATCAATAAATATGCAACAAAAATCCGTCTATTATGAGGTGATCCTTTTTTATAATTAAAAAGCTCATTGTACAAAGGGAAACCTAAAACATACAGTATGAACATTATGAGATAATCATGGGGTGAATTTTTTGCTTAAACCTGCCTTGAATCATGACTTCAGGATTTCTTTATATGTTAGGTGTAAATTCTAAGTCATCACTTCATCGTCAAGCCAAGGCTTTTCCTACATTCGAGTGCCTTACCAAAAATCTCCTTTTGAGCAATATAATTATTCTTTATCGTAAGAAATGAAATAGCAATGAAAGTATTATTCTCTTCTAAACAGAATAGGGATATACTTGATTTGCCTTGCAAGAAGACTTAAGCAGAGAAGAATTAAATCTACACTTCAAACATTAGCAACTCAACAAGAATCATTTGGCAATCACCTTGGAGTCAAGTTCAAGTGAAGTAACACCCAGCCTGAGAAAAATGAAAATTATCGATGGTCAAACAAAAATTATGAGCAGCAAGATACATACTCGAACATTAAAGGAAGCCGTTTTTAAAACAAAATAGGGGAAAAAAAATCCGTGCAAGTATTATTCAGTCAATTAGTCAAAACGCTATATGTATAGTATACATGGATATTAGCCTCTGCATTAGATTAATAACATGCACATTAGCACCCAGGCATAAATAAATCAGCGAAATTATCAATTTAAAAATCATAATTTATAAAATAATAGATAGGAAAAATTAACCTGCCGTTTACACTTGGGTTATTATTCAATCCAGCATTGGAAAACCAATCAACCTGTGTAACAGCTCCATTAGCACACACTATTTCAAATTAAAAAACAGTTCTTTATGAAATTCTTCTAATTCTATTGACTAAAACTAAACATCATAATAAAATAAGAACAAAAACTAAATAGAGGACATAAAATTTGATACATGGGTGCGGCATGGTTCCCCGTCAATGTGATATGTATGAGGATAGATTCCGATCTTTTGACATTTCCCGGGAAAAAAAAAAACAGTTTGAGCTAATTTAGTATATAATTAACTGAAAAATTTACAAAAAAAAAAAAAGAAGAAGAAAGAAAGATAATTAATACCCACCTCAGAATAAGATTGCGTTAAAAGAAAAGAAATGTCGTGGCGATAATCTGGTTCAAATTTTCCGGTTAATTCAATTAGACTTCTCTTCCAACGACGCCTGAAAATACATGTTTTTTTTATAAAAAACATTATCTAAAATTTAAGAGAATATAAAAGCCTGAGTAGAGTTAATTTAATTTAGGGTTCGAGGATAAAAAATATTACCTCCTTATGGATTTTGGATTTTGCGAAGATGGGTTTTTTACAGTGACCAAGTACTTTTCCATGGAGTGAAATTTAACAGAGTTTTCTTCCTCGGATTCTTCTTCTTCTTCTCTCGGAACAAAACAGATCACTGAGTAACTGGGAATTTTCCCGCCATCTTCATCACTTTGTGGATTAGGTTTACGGTATGGATTTGAAACCCCCGCCAAAAGGTTAAAAAAGCCTTTTAGATGGAGATTTGTTTCGTGTGAGTCGTTCAAATTCGCCTTCTTTTTTTTTTTTTTTTCTTTATTTTGTCGCCTAGGAAAAATTCATGAGTACATGAAACACTCTCGATAGAACTTTTTTCGATGCCTTCTTTTTTTTTTTTTTTTCCCAATTTAGTCGCCTAGGAAAAAGTCATGAGTACATGAAACACTCTCGATAGAACTTTTATCGACATTGATGTGGCCGTTATATGATTGAATTATTTTTTTTTCTCTTTCCATCTTTCAATCAATTCCCGTAATTTATTGTCAATCAAATTTTTTTGTACTTGTAGTATGATTGAATCATTTAACCTATCTTTTTGTATCAATTAGATCGCGCCCAGCCGACCTCTGGAATGAACATAAATCCATTTGATTCTAGTTTCAAGATAAACGATTTGAGCCATGAACCAATATCACTAGATCCATGAGTTAGTAATATATACCAAAATAAATAAATAAATAAAAATTTAAACATTCAGCAAATTCAAATTCAAATTCAAATTATCAATCATATTGTGTAATAAAATTCAATCACAGAAGTTTAAACTAATAAACAAAATATAGTCATAATTTGAATACACAAATATTTAATTCCATCCCCATACAAGATATTGTCGATTCAGTAGTGTAGATGAACAGGTCACCAACAAAAAATGATTTTTTTTTTTTATTATTTTGATTCATTGACATATATATTTATTAACAAAAATTGATTTTGGTTCTTGGTCGTGATTCTAGAATTAGAACCAGAATCACAATCAAATGATTCTTGATTCTAAGAATCAAATCATTATTATTATTATTATTTTTTTTTTTTTTTTTGTAGAATCGAACCGTTTGATTCGATTTGGTTTTAGTTTTGCGTAATCATTTTGTCCAGATCAACCCACCGTGCTTTCCTAGTTTGATTATTTTGCACTAGTGATTGCAAAAAACCGAAATGGAATTGGGAATTGAAAAATGGTCCCGGCCCTGACAGATAATTTTTTTAAATTTAAAGAAATAAAAATAAAAATAAATAACAAATGTTTACTCTTCAAATTTGAGTCAAAAGATCGTGGCATACAATAAGACTTCGGGAGGTGATTATATTGACATTACAGTTTTTTATAAGTTCGAATATCTCAATCGTCACTGAACTTTTCTAAACATTTCTCAATCGTTAGTGAATTTTAGAACTCCCCGAGTTGACCTCGTATTTTTTAAAATGCTTTTGAATTATTGAATTTTACAAGTTACATCGCATTGTCATTAGAAATGCGCAAGGGATTGGGTTAGGATCCAACTCGACAGTCGAACTCACTTTTCAAGTTTGGTCCAAGACGATCCTAGTATTGAACCGACTAGTGTAAAATTTAACAAAACCGAAAAAGTTTGGTCAGATTGATTTTCGGCAAACTTTATGGGCTGCCACCATAACCACCATTGTCCACACCGTAAACTGGACCCATCACCATACGACCACATCTATGCGCCATCATTACCACCATAAATTAGGCTAGTTAGCAAATAACAGTCACACATCTCCACCATAAATCACACACCCATTTACACCATCCCAGTAGGGATGTCCAAAAGTCCCGAACAGAACCGAATCGGATCGAACCGAACCCGAATCGAATCGAGCGGTTCTTCATAAATTAAATACCCGAACAAGTACCCGAATCGAGAACCGATGTAACAATGGCTAACTCGACATGATTGGGTTTAGAAATAAGAATAAAGCTATGTGTACACAATTTTTTACACAATGTTTTACACCCCCCTCACATGGAGGGGGGCCCACACATAATAAAATAATCGTGGACCCCCTCCATGTGAGAGAGGTGTAAAAGATTGTGTAAAAGTGTGTGTGTACATGTAGCATTACCCTTGCAAAAAACCGAAATGGAATTGGGAATTGAAAATGGTCTCGGCCCTGACAGATAATTTTTTTTATTTTTTTTTAAATTTAAAGAAATAAAAATAAAAATAAATAACAAATACATGAAATGAAAATATTTTAATTTTCGTACTTGTCGGGTTCCATGAATCCCCAACACGGTAGACGGAAAGGCCACCCAATTGCATTCCCAATTTTGCGCACAGATAAAAAATTATCAGTCATCACGATGCTTTTTTTGGTGATAAATTAGCACTTAGGTGACCTTTAATATGATGTTTACTCTTCAAATTTGATTCAAAAGATCGTGGTATACATTGGTATACATAAGACTTTGGGAGGTGATTATGTTGACATTACAGTTTTTATAAGTTTAAATATCTCAATCACCACTGAACTTTTCTAAACATTTTCTCAATTGTTAGTGAATTTTAGAACTCCCCGAGTTGACCTCGTATTTTTTAAAATGCTTTTGAATCATGGAATTTTAAAAGTTACTTTGAATTGTCATTAGAAATGCGCAAGGGATTGGGTTAGGATCCAACTCGACCCTCGAACCGACTTTTCAAGTTTGGTTCAAAGTATTGAAACGACTAGTGTAAAATTCAATATAACCAAAAAAGTTTGGTCAGATTGATTTTCGACCAACTTTATGGGCTCCCACTAGGGTTGGAGCCCATTTTTTTTTAATAGCCTTCAAAAGACAAAATCCACCAGAGTTAGAAAATTGAAAGTCCATACCAAAAGCTTGAGAAATCAAACGACAGTGGAGGTTGTCCGTCGTCAGAGCTGATATGGTGATCTTCTCGAGGTATTTTTACACTATTACAAATTTACATATATTCTCCCTTGCACGCAATGACAATTTTGTAATTTTCTTTACGATTTAAGTGAAATAATTTGTTTTGGGTTTTGGGAGTTTTATAGGATTTTCAATTCAATTGTAAGTGAAGGGTGAAGCATGTGAATCAGCGGGCCAGCGGCAGTATGTTGCAGAAATTCTTTAGTTGTGTTCATTGTTCAATTCAAATTATTCAATTTATGGTTTATGTGAACTGTGAAGTAATTTGTTTTGGCCTTTTGGAAGTTTAAGACCCATTCGCTACCTCAAGTCAGGTAGAGACGTGGTAGAGCATACGAGGATTGGTGATTGGTATACTCGAATGGAAAATGCTGTTGGGATATCTTCTAGAATGGCAGAGCCCCAGCATAGTTTGAATAATTTGTGCAAGTTTTGATTAGTTTTTGAGTAGGACCCGAGTTTGGAAATTTTATGCCTAGTATTATCTATTTAAAGTGAGTATGTAGTTTCGATAAGCCTTCGTGGTGAGATGTTACAATAAACTTTCCAAAGCAATTGCCAATAGGGAGGCAAAAAACTATTTTGACATACGAATTGTTTATTACGTTATTGAGTTCCAAGTCGCTACATTATTTCTGAGCTGTATTTTGAGTGTAAATAATAAAGCCTCTCAACTTCTCATGTCGGATTATGGTAACAGAACTGCTGGCCATTAGGTTTGAAGCTGCATCCTCCACTTAAATAAAATCTTTGATTGTTATTATATCTAGTTTTCTTGTAACCGTGACCTTTGTTGGGGTATTATTTATGGACTGCTTTGAGACTCCTGCAATTTATTTTTTGACTTTGCTTTTTTCACATTGAGTCCTAAATATGCACCTGGAGCTCAACAAAAGAAGAAGAGAGAAAGAGTATAGGCATTAATTCGAAGCTAGACTAGAGATATGGATAAATATTTTAATAAAAAGAAAAAAAAAAGAGAAGGAAGGAACACTTGAAAATTTAGTGATTGAGGAATAACATAATCGGAATGATAATGATAATATGGATGGACGGAAAGAGAACGAAGAAATGATTGAACCTGCCAACGTGAATGAATCAAAAAGAATGATGAAAATAATATTCAACATGAAGATTTAAATCAAGAGAATTGCTTTTCTTTGAATTTTGAGGATCCTGAAAATTGGAAGGATGATCACATTGATCAAAAGACAAGGAACTTTTTAGTTAAAATTGATCCAAAAAGAGTTGATGATATCTTGTTTCCCAAATATAGTCAATGTAGATATTTTGAATCATCACAATATAAGCGACTACTTGCAAATGGTCAGACAATTGATAGAAGATGATTAGTGTATTCAATTTCTTTAGACAAGATCTTTTGTTTTTCCTGCAAGTCATTTAAAACAGAAAAAACGATGAAAAATATTGGTCAATTGGGTAATGATGGATACAAAGATTGGCACAATGTGCATCGGCGTTTTACAAATCATGAAGTGGCTAAGGAGCATATAGACTGCATGACTAGTTGGATGGAACTGAAAAATAGATTTCAAACAAAACATATAATTGATGAAAGCATACAATTGGCCATCAACAAAGAAAGAGAACATTGAATAATAACGAGGATAATTGTTATTGTGAAAAAACTCGCTAAAAATACTTTGTCATTTCGAGAATATTGTGGCAACTTTATGTTGAGAACAATTGACTCTTTTTTTTTTTTTT